TGTGTTGTTAAATTCAAACATAGGCTGCACCTCATATATTTCCTTTACATTTGTGTTTTTTTTTTTTTTTAGGTCTATTATTTCAGTATCAATCTGGCTAAGCCTTAATTTCATATAATTAGTTAGATTAAGTTTCATTTTGAATGGTAATCTTGAATGTTTGAATAAAAAAAAACAACAACACTTGATTATGTCAAGAAAGGCTGTTGTGTACATATGTATTTTAGTTTTATATATATATATATATATATTAGAGCCAGACCGATATATCGGTTGGCCGATATTATCGGCTGATATTTTTATTTATTTATTTATTTGAGATATGGGCACCTGGAGGCATATATCTGCCTGCTTGCTGATAGGGGCCGATATTTCACGTGGGCATGTGATACATCGTTAAAAATCTTAGACTCTCTACATTCTGTTCATTTAATCCAATTTACAGACAGATAAATGTCCTAATATGTGGCTCCACATCAGTATTTATCTACGGAGTCATTTGTCTGTGTGTGTTCTTACTGTCCCTGAACACACCACAGAGTCGCGTCACTCACGTGTGTTTGTTTACACCTGCAGACACAGATCCAAACATTGAGATTATATTCTTTTTACGGACAATCGGTTTGAATCTGGATTAAAAGGACATTTATTAGTGCAGACTTGTGATGTGAGAGGAGCCTGTATGAGCGGTGAGTGTTGGAAATATGTCGACTTTGAAGCTAGTTTTGGTCATTTGTTATGGGTTAGCTGCTGTAGCTCCCGCACATAAACAGGCTGTTTTCTATTGGTCTATTGTAAAGTGACTATATTGGCCGTATATTTGTTACTGGACCTGCACTGATATGTAAATGAGCTGTGAATAGACGTGTGAATTATGACATTTGCGCATATAATTAATTACGGCGGCATGCACGTATTTACGGCTAAAGGCTAATAGCAATTGTTTATTTACTAGTTATGGGTCGGTCGCGAACGAAATGACTCTTAGAGACCGGCTCTTTGAAGCGAACGACGGGGGCCTGATCCTTATTGGGAGCCGTGTTTTCTCTTTCTCTCACTTTTTTTCTCTTCACGCCGCGTGCAGACTCGTAGTTTGACAGCGGCAGCGGCTGAAAACGAAACTTTGAGAAATTTGCGTGTACATAGGATAAAAAAAAAAACGAGCATATTTGACTGTAGTTTAGCATAAAATAAATAAGTCCCGGTTTAGTCCTTTTTCAGTCCTGGTTTAGTCCTGATTCAGTCCTGATTCAGTCCTGCTTTAGACGTGCTTTAGACCTGCTTGCAACAAAACAATCTGAAGAGCCGCTTGGGAGCCAAAAGAACCAGCAGCTTTTAGTGAGCCAAGCTAAAAGAGCCGGTTCTCTAAAAAGAACTGGAATACCCATCACTAGTGTCTAGAATGTGATGTAAAAATGCCATTAAGCCAACCTACTGTCTGTAAATATGATGTAAAGAGGCAGAATAACAATAAATGTTGCCTAAATAAACCCAATTTAAAATCCACCAGAGCCAAACCTATGTTTTTTAAACAATTCAACATTTACAGTGAATTTTTACATCACTAAATATATCGGTGATTATATCGGCTATCGGCAGCTCCAATATATATATAAAGTATAAGTATTACTATCAATAAAGGGCTGATGTCTCATAAACACAGCACATATATGGATGAAACGCACTGTTCCAATTCTGACAGTTGTTCTCACACATGCGTCTGGCTTTCTGCTAAATTTGGACATAGACTTTTACATTATTGAGGCTCTGGGCTCATGTGCCAGCTGTTGTCAGATTTGTTTTAGTTTGTTGTGGAGGAGATGATGTAACAATGAGCAGCTTTTGGCTCCACCAACCACCTACTCCATACAGGCCAGCCCTCACCCCCCTCGCCCAAAAACTCACACACAAGGGCACAGCTGGCCGGCACCACTGGCATTTACCCTGGATCTGCCCACAAACTGAATGACAGGGAGGGACATGCATTACAGATTTTTCCCTCAGCTCATAAAGTGCTCATAGTCAGGGTTTAAAAATAGCTCTGTGTTTTGCACACCTTTCATCATACTATAGCACTGCAACAGCTCCTCTGTGTTTGTTATTCTGATTAGATACTGTCCACTGAAAGGTAAAGGAGGAGTTCCAAGGTCAAGTACTTTTCAAAGGAGGGGGTTGGGTGCCAGATTCTGACAATCCGCTTTTACAAGTTGTAAACAGTCAAAGAGTGATCGTAATGATGTTGCACTTTTTCACTATGGCAAATTGATTACATTTGCCCATTTACCAATGACCTTTGAGGCCATGTATAGAAATGCAGTGCTTCCAATAAACTGCTGTTTTTGCTAAAAACCCTCCATCCACCTCTTCTCACTCTATCAGAATCTTCATCTCTTCCCTTTCACCTCCACTAGGTGCCTAGCGCAAGGGAGGAGATATTTAACATCATGCACTATTCTCAATAGACAAAATAAACCATGAACTCACTAGTCTCATTTATACAGTGCCAATTATACGCCAATCTTCTGTCACTAGTTGGGTTGTGGACTCTGCTTAACCCTAACAGAGAAGAAATGATCCCACATCTGGAATGTGAAGAAGCAGTAGTTTGCATTCTCTTCCAGCATCTAATGTCTCTCTCCTTAGAGCACAGGCACTCTACTGAGATCCTCCAGTTGGACCTTTTTGTGACGACCTGGAACTCATCACCATGAGGTAGGCCACTGTTTGAACAATAACTTGAGCTTTTGGGGTTTGCGACTCACCTCCACATCAGTCAATCAACCAATCAGATCAGTCAATCAGAATGAGTACAGAAGACGCTGCACTCACCCCCCGGTCAAACTGCAGGCTCTGTCCTGTCTTTCTGCTCCTCCAGAATACATCTTATAACCATGTTTACTCTACAACGTCTATGTTTAAAGGCATACTCAGCATTTTGCAACATGATTTTCCGTTAGTCGAAATATCTTATAGGCTAAATTTGTCATCTTACACTGGTTTCAGGTAATACCCACGCACCAACCAATAATGTTTCTCATCTTGTGCCAGCGCCATGCGCCAGTGTTGTTTACACACTTTAAAGGTTCTATTAATAAAAAGAAAATTCTAAATCATTTTATTGAGCGCGTCCCTGAAAACACTCACTGAGCTGTCACAGGACCCCTCCCCCGTAGGCTCATTCATGCAGACCGTGTTACGTAACGAATTTCGCCCAGTCATAGCAGACACGTCCTCGGATACACTCTGCAGCCCAGGCCGGCCCGGGACAGGAGAATGGGACAGGAGGCAGACCGGAGAGGGGGTCAGAGGGCACGGGTACAGCCTGAAGAGAGCAGTAGGCGAACACACGCCTCTTCTCTTACATTAGACCTGCGGCTGATCTGCCACACATGGCGAGGAGCCCTCTAGTGGAGGAAATAGGAATAACGTGGCTATGCACTGCTGGTATGGCTCTATTACGAGAGCTGCAGGCTTAGAAGATAAGGAAAGTACGACCCCTAGTGGTCATTTTTGGGACGAACGCGCATCTGAATAACTGTAACCTCAGTGTTGTGAAAAATGTAGGTTTTAAATCAGTCGTATATAAAGGCTCACAACAACCTAAAAAAAAATCATAAACTATTATAATTTAAAAAGTCATAAACTATACAACTGTTAACTAAGTAGAATAAGTTGAAAGTTGAACCCTGACTTAAGAAATATTAATGGCATCACTTAAAAGTCAATGTATGTTTTATTGAATGTATGAAAAAGCAATGACAATCATTGTGTCTTTAAATAAAGTGCACTTCACTTATGACACAGTTTACAATATAATACATCAATGCTACACAACAAGACACATAGTAATGCACATAGTGACTATTTAAGATGTACACACAATGTACAGGATAGTAACACCACTGTGGTTGACATGGACACACGCAGCAGTACAAAACTACAAATGTGCAAAATGTGTACACTGAAAAGTACATTAGAAAAATACTTACAATAACATATACTGTCAAAATGTAGCCCTCCTTTCTAAATACAATAGCAACTTTATGTTACAAAAATACAATACTTTCACTACGAGTTACATTATTTTAATTAAATGTCACCTATTATGTAATTCAGTCTATGAAAGTTTGATTGCAATTGCCACATTTTTATCCAAATTGAGTAGGATTCCCTTAATGCTACAAATAAGGCATATGACCTCTTAACTGAGTTTGTGTATAATTATATCTTGCAGAAACAGACTTTCATGACATTTTACTTTCTATTACCCTGAACATTTATATAAGTACAAATATAGTCACAGTTTGGCAGTGTTGGCAGGACTGAGGTCAGGATCAAAAACAAGATACACTTACAGTTCAGAAACATCATTTTCCATAATGGTCTTTAGTACAGTGTGGTAATGATCTTATGGTGCCACTTTTCACATGATCTACATTAAGCATGTGAGCAACACAGGACCAAAGCATGGTGTATTTTAGATTACATCCCAATATTAATACTGTACATTTGAGACAGTCTTGTACTCAAAAGCTGTGTGTACAGGTGGGTTCCAAATTCAGCTTTAGATTATTTTTTTCACCCAGTGCAAAATGTGCATTTATACAGACTGGACAAAAACACAACTTGCATATGCTACTAAAGACTATTCTTAACAGTCACAACAATCTTATTATTTGATGCTCAAGCTTATTGTTTGATGACAGAAAATACTGGAAATGTGATTGTGTCAAACTGACTCCTTTACCACTCCAGCTCATAAAGCAATAATATACAACTTACAAGTAAGCTTTGAACAAGGATCACGCAGCACACCTTAAATGGAATGTCACACTGACAAAGTTGTGAACACTCTCCTCTGTTCCTCTGTATCTGATCAGCGGAATCACGATAGTACATTCAGACATGTACCTGCTTCTCTTCATACTCTTCTGCGGAGCAGCTTAAAGCTGTAGACAGAGTGAGCAAAGTGCACTGGCCTCATATCTCTGTCCCTCAGTTCACTGGTTGCAGAGGCGCCCCTCAGACACCAGTCGCTGGTTCAGGACACATAGCTGGCGCAGAAATCCATCGTTGGGGCCGATCTCTCGTTTGTGGCGCACCATGGCCAGAGCTGTGTGCACGTCCAGGTTCTGCCGCAGCATCAGGTAGGCGATCACCAGGGTGGGTGAGCGGCTGTAGCCTTCACGACAGTGCACATACACTTTTCCTACACACACAGAGAGAAAGTGAAAGACATTAGTCTGAACCAACAAGGCACTTTAAACTCCACCCTCAAGTCTATGCCTGACCGAGCCTCTTATCAGGGCAGAGATGTGTGATGTCTCTTCAAATGCATTGGTAATGTTTAACCGTAGATTGCGGTACAGATTGTCTTTACTGTTTTAGACCACAAACTGCAAACTAATCTAGTTAACACTAAAATAAAAATAATAATTAGAAGTAGTAGAGCATGTTACCAAAACACATTGTGTTATGGGCACTGCCCCACTTTAATATAGCCCACATGTTAGCATCATGGGAGTAATAGCAGCACTAAACAGCAGAACTAAATAGTACATTTTGCAACATCCAGATCCCAGGGGTGAAAGACACTTTGATAATTCTGCTAATTCTGCTAAAGTTAATTCTGTTTCTACTTACTGACCTTTCCCATTTTTATAGGCCAGTGCTTTAGCGATGAAGTCTGCGGCCTCCTCAAAGAAGACACTGAGATCGAAGTGGTCAGTGTCGTTGGCCGGGATGCCGTGGTACGTGATGCCAGAGCCGCTGTAGAACTGTGCGTTAGTGTTGACATGCATGAAGGAGTTTCCCTCGGCCGCATTCAGGATGTGTGTGATGCCCAGACGCTTCAGACGCAGCACGTTAGTCGCCACAAACCTGCATCCACAGCCAATCCAAAAATCAATCATGGTTCAATCCAGTTTTCCAATTGTTAAATTAGTATAAAATTTAATTTATCTGAAGACAAGACGCAATAAAAACAATAAATAATTAGATAGATAATGCATAAAGCTATACTGTTGAACATTCCTTAAGCAATAACTTCTCCATGGAGGTGGCAGATTTCACCTTTAATTAGGCTGTGTAAATGTAGTCTTATGGTTTAACTCTTTGAAAATAAACAGGAGGCAACGTACATTATTAAAGCTAAATTTAATGAGACTGAAAGCTGCAGTGATTGTGTGGGACCGATGTTCCCAAATCTGCACTAGAACTCATGTCTGTGATGTTGGTGCTTATCCATGTTTATTCTGCTCACGTATCAGCATTCTTTTGTCCGTATTCATTACAGTGTTTATCCTTATGTTTTTTTCCTGACAGATACATTTAATATTTACTATCTAAATCAAAAGAGAAGAGCAGTGATTTTGGTCAAAAGAGAATATTTCCACTGTGAAAAGTATGCTGCACCACTTGGCATGTCCTAATTTTAGGAGCTAAAAATAGCCGCTGCATCCACCTTCCTGCCTACAAAATAGAACCAGGACACAGATCTAAAACACTGTCAGTGTGCACTCTGCACATCACTGTCAGTCTGACTGTTATCTTAAACACCCTAAAAAGTAAGAACAAAGACACTGGCTAACTCAAAGTCATAGGTTATAATACATCATTAGTACACAGTAGCTAGTAGACTACTGAAATATGAATTCAGTATTAATCAGACTGGTGCTGCATTTTTATTAAATAATATACAATTAAAATCTAACCTAAAGCCAAGTGATGTTTTTTTCAACACACAAGGTTATATTTTACCTAGAAAGAGAGTCACATGTTGACTCAAATAAACCACACTGTGGCAAAAACAAGGCTTATTTCATGTTATAATAATATACTTAAAGACTGGGATCATAGCCTATGGCGAGCCTGTGAGCCGGACCAGAAAGCAATAATATATTGCTATTCTGTATTCTAGATAGTTTGAAAAATAAGTCCACATATCTTATTAACTTAACCATTTTGTTGTCGGTGCTAGTTGCTTAGACCTGAAATAGCCTGTAAAACAAAGCTATAGACGGCAGCGAGCTTCACTTGTCGCCGTGGCTTTGCCTTCTGCACGAGCGCATCCAGATTGTTCCACAGTCACGCACCTGAGGGATGTTTGATAACAGAGCGTGACGCACGGAGCCTGCACGCGCGCTCTATCTTCATTTTTAAGTTAATAGTCAATTTTTTCCCCCTTATTTGCATTGTGCAAAGGCAAAATCGCAATTTAAGACGTAGTCCATAATGTTTGATGACTGTGATAACAAAATGCAAATAAGACGCTGCATCGCATTTGGGCCTCACGTTTCTTGTTTAACTTAATTGTTAAGAAAAGACAGAGAGTTTTAATTACTCACGCGTTGCCCACGTAGATCCGCGGGTAGACTTCGTGGTAGTGCTTGGTGGGCCAGCTGTACAGACCACTCTCGTCTGTTAACAGGTCGTTCAGCTGCTGGAGACTGACTTCAAAGCTCATGCCTGGTGCTTTCTTCGGCGATTGCTTCGTCTGTAAGTTCTTTTTGTTTTTCATATCCTGTATAAAAGCTCTGAGAAGACGGGATATGAGCCGCTGAACGTGGCAGACAGGTGTCGGTTTACCGCGCACTCGGACGTCCATGAGCGCCACAGATGCAGCTGCTTGTGCTCGGTCTGCCGCTTCAGACGGTGAGGAAAAACACCCGCTGCAGGGGCGGACCAGCGAGACCGGGGGGCGCACTTATAATGGGTACGGGCACCATTTCTTTAATCAAAATGGTTTAGAATGTAATATATTCAGTTATTTAGTTAGCTAGATGCAATCTGTTTGATTTATAGGCCTATAGTTTACTGACGCGCCATAAAAGTTACATAGACTAGTGCAATTTTAAAGGTCATTATTACACAAAATTGACTCTTGACTCTTTAATAGGGTGACCAGACGTTCCTATTTACCCTGGAAAGTCCCAGTTTTAAGCCCTGTGTCTCCTGTTCCAGCAGATTTATCCAAAACGATTGATTTGTCTCAGTTTTATACAAGAAATGTACCAGATGTCCCTATTTTTTACTATTTTTTATCCCTGACAACAGTAAAGAGAGGCATAAATTGACATTTGTTTAAGTAAAATGCAAAAAAGCTGCTTAAAATGGACCAAAACAGAGAAAATGGGACTATATTGACTCATGAATGAATCAAGTGCAGAACTATTTTCCTTAATTACGCACTCGTTTTGAAATTTTTCCAGCTTTGTTTTTGAAAATCTGGTCATGTTACCATGTTACCTTGTCTAAAACGCCTCAAATTGTGTTTTCTTTCATTCACACATGTTTGAGTAACCCTTTATTATTAGTCTGGCTACATGTCCAAAGCTACTTTTTATTTTTTGTTCAGTAGAGATTGGAAACTCCAGTGTTGAAATTATTCCAGTGAAGGTGAATGGAGTTTACCACATGACAAGGCAAGGAACAGAGTATTTTCTATTTGAGAGAAGAACTAAATGTGCAGGGTTTGTGTGTTAGACATCAGACTTCAGGTGTGTTTGTAATAAGGAAACAACATTATAACATAGATTAGAAAACAGTGTATTATGTGTCCTTTAAAGTAGGCTAACATTTTACCAAATTTATATTTTGTATTAAATAAAATGCTAGTTATATCAAGATTGTTATAAAATGTATCAAGTAGTCCACTAAAAAGGAGAATTAGACTCAAGAGCTCAAACTGAAATTGGCTTTGCTCACATGCATACCAAAATCTTGTTATAATCTATATATATAATCTCTGGACCTTTAAGATTATTTAAATGATTTGTAAATCACAACATCTGATGTGAGTAATCAGAGAGATCATGACTCGAAAGAAATAAGATGGATATGCTGTTTCATTTTAGTAGTCTTATAACTCAGAAAAATCTGCTATTAATTTGATTTTGATCTTGGAAGTAACCACAGTGTGTGTCTTTGTCCTTTATTTGCTGGTGTGTGCAGTATGGTGATGCTCACAGAAGAGTTGCCCCTTCTGTCAGATATGATAAGTACAATTAGCTCATTTTTCGTCTGCTTCTTGTGAGTTCTAACATGACTCATAATGTGGATTATAGGGCAGTGATTATTTGATAATAATCTAAAAGAATCTGACTGACAGATCCCCATCTGACTGAGGTATAGAAGAGACTATCAAACAATCAGTCTTCTACATGTCTATCCAAATTGAATTGTTTTTAGAAATTATATAAACAAACTATTAAACAATTATACTGTTCATATTAATCTCAAATTTCTGTAATTAAGTACACAGTACAGACATCCTTTTGTTATGCAACACATTTTATTAGTCTTAAAGCAAATTCGAAATAACAAAATCTTAAGAGTTTACAGGAAAAAAAGTGTAAAGTGCAAATTTTGCTGGTAGCCACTGTTCAAGCATCTTCAACCTGTGAAATGCTGTAAAATGACAACATTTAAGGTTTGGCCATAGGAAGTACTACAAGAAACATCAATAACAATGCATTAGTCACTTTTCACTGCACTTTCAATTTAGTGCATTTTTCATTCACTCCGCTCTCAAACTCGTTGTCATTATGCCTTCATGGCTCATGTGACCACACTAACGTTCATATATAGACAAGGTGGGAAAAGTGTCTTGGCCAAGGACACAAGGGCACATCACTGTCACCAAGGTAGAAGCCAAATTAAAAATCAATATCAAGGCTTTTCTTTATATGTTTGTATTTCAAAATAAATTTAAATCCACTGTTGCCTTCTGTTGTTGATAATTCCCAGGATAAAAATACTTGACAGACGGCAGTAAACAGACACTATTGACTGGCAGGACATTGAAGCATTGTTGAAAGGCCCTTCAACACATCTCAGGCCGTATTTGGGCTGATCGACAGCGCAATACTTTGAGGAAGCTGTCAATCTTGTGAGAATCTCGACGGAAGCAGGACAACAGGAATTGGAAGTTCATGAGTTTGGAGACCTTGTCTGAGCCAAAGTCAGTGGTCCCAGTATAAGGTAAAATGGAGATGACCTGAGCAGCTGGGCCCATCTAGAGGAGAGACAACAGAGAAATGTCACGTTTCTGGTCCTCAAGTATGAATGTTTCAGTGACTAAAGTTTGTGTTCAATCCCTTACCCTGCCTGACACAATATCCAGGCCGTTCCCCAGACTCTTGGAGTTCTCCAGGAGTTCTTGGATCTTGCTGGCGATGCTGGTCTGGGATGGGTGAGGCAGCGTGTTAGCATTAGCAGACAGCAGCACCAGAGGGTCTGCCCAGGATTGTAGCAGGGACCGCACCAGGGACATCAGGTTGTGCTCCTGGAAAATACACACTGTTACTAAAACTGAAGCATCACGCGTAGAGCATAAATCAAATTTTAAATGTTCAGAGATGTAGTTAAATAAACTTTTTTTTTTATTGATGCCTTTTTTTTTTTGCTTTTTTCTATGCCTGCATCGCCCATTAATGAACGGTGCTTGGAGTTTACACTAAAAAATGTGGGTCCTGTATGTTGAAGAGGCTTAAAATAGGTTTTTGACCATGGCCAAACAAGCCTGGAGGATATTTCCCACTTCAACCAGTTGTTTCAGTCCTGTAAGGTGCTGTCACCTCATGTTTGAGATGTGTGATCACATGACCTCTACACACTCAGTCACATGACACAGAATGTTGCCAAAACATGTGGAATGGAAGTGAAACTATGCATCTTGAAACAATCCACTTGTTACAACCAAAACATCACAACATTGTGAAGGACCCTGGGTATTTTGCGTGTAAGCACTTTTGGAAACCGCTGAACCCTTGGACTGGATTTATTGTAACAATAATCTTAAGTCATAAGAAAGAGGCGAGCATCACTCACAGACACTTGGAGAGCCTGGTCTTTGTCAGTGGGACCTTGCAGAGTGGACGTGTGGCACGTGGAGGGGCGGGGCATCAATATTCGGCCAAGGGGAGGAAAATGTGTCTCCTGAAACAAAAATAGAGACATGAAAGGAAAGTCATTATGTAAATGTTCTTAATGTAAATTAGGGCCGAAGAATTTGGGGAGGAGGAAATCATCAGTTGTAATTATTTTCAACTAATATTTAGATTATATTTGTGTTTCGGCTATTAAACACACATAAGAGTAACAGTAGAGTGTTAAATATGAGCTAAAATAACACATTTAGTCAATTCAGAACATTCATGTAGATGTCTAAACTAGAGGTTTAGCAGGCTTTCAACGTAATATTTTTTTGTTTGTAGAGAAAATTGCATCATAAATTTATTGCGCTTTATCTTGCATTTCTATTGTAAACTTGAAACACAGTGATCACCTACTATCCTCGTGACAGATCCTAGTCCTGACATGAGCGTGTGTGTGTGTGTGTGTGTGTGTGTCTGTGTAGAGACCCACCAGCTCCTGAGCGAGCATGGTGCTGAGGGAGTGCAGCTTGTCGGAGCGCTGAGAGGCCCGGTCCAGCAGGTCTCCGATGGGAATGGCCCCGCACACCGCCACCATACACACCACTGAGGACAGCACACAGCAGGTATTTAGGCAACTGATCACCTACTCTACATCTAAACAGACGAAACAAGGGCCGATCGAAGACAGCAGACTGATATTCAATATTATTCAGTACATTTCAAATATCTCTATTCAGCTCAGGTTAGACTAGGCCTCTTGACCTTTATTCAGGCTTAGAACCTCAGTAGGGCACACTCATGTATTTGATAATGGGCTATTAAACGTGAAGTAAAAACATAAATATAAAGTATGGTTTATGATCTTTTTAGCCAATTCTCTAGAGCTTGAGGGCCAAGATAAAAGGCCTGAGGGCCACATTTGGCCCTTGGGTCATAATTTGGACATGGTGGCATGTCCATAAATATGTACATGAATATGTGTTTAGTTTACATGTTGATGTTTATGGCAGTTTAAAAACAGTCAATTCAAAAATATGCTGTTACAAAAATTTGGTTTGAAAAAAAAAAAAAGTGTTACAAATTTTGAAGTGTCTAAAGATTTTGTGCAGCTGCACTCAGGAGGTGGGTTGAAAATTTATTATTGGAAGAAAAGTTACAAAGTACTAAGTATGTATAATAATTGTAATACATGAGTTAAATATGGTTTATGCACTCAGTTATATGGTAGTAAATGTAACTAACTGATGAAAAGTGGAAAAAAAAAAGTTAGAAATTGTATTTTAAGTATCACCAAAATTGAGAGTTACAACTTTCTTAAAACTTTATCTTTTTCACCACCTCTGGCATCTGCATCATAGTTGCTTTTTCTTTTTTTTACCTTCATCCTATGTACTTTTTGAGCTGCATGTACATCAAAATAAGAAACCCAAGTATTTTTTCTTACCTGTGATGAAGAATTGGCAGCCCTTGGTTCTGTCCATGTTGGTTAGCACTTTCTGCACCTGTCTTGCTTAGAGGCCTGTGACTGGTCTTCAAGTCTTGTCTTCTGGAAGTCTATGTTGCCTCCAATTTATAGTAGCTTGGTGCGTTTGTTTATGCAGCAATGAGGTGAGAATGCTCTAGCTTGGAACTCGTTTGGTCCAGTTAGTAATGAGAAACATAGTCAAGGAGATTTGAATGAATGCAAGAGACTACAAACAGGATGATGTGTGTGTCATGACCTAAAGGTGTCAGAGAGGTGGAAAAAGATCTTAATTGAATGAATGAATAAAACAGGGCTTTAGCTAATGTTTCTAATAACGCCCAAATCCCAGTCTGACCACACAAAATCATACGACTTTTGGATCAGGCATCAAGAGACCTTCTATAATAGACAAAAAATGTGAATCCACTGCCTATGTTATGTATATCTAAAGTTTTATAAACTAATTATTGTCAGCACTTGAAAGGCATTTAATACAATAGAGACATCTAGTGGACAGGTGTTAAATTACATGACCTGTACAATAAACCATACAACATAATAATGTATAACACAATAAATAGCATGTATGTAAGAGCTTTATATTGTAATAGTTTTGATTTGAAAGTTACTTAAATAAGTTTTAATTGTATTGGCATATAGTACAGCATCATTTCAGAGATGTTTTGTGTGCAGCTTAAGTAGTGTTGGATGCTCATATGCTTGGTGGTGCTTTTGGAGGTGATCTTGGGACATTTGAGCATAAAGAATACTGTTAATTTTTGCTTGTTGCTTGTTTTGTTGAACTCACACCTTATGTGCCATAAATGGAAAAATAAAGATTTTGACTGTGAATGCACATTAGATTTTATACAAACAGATTAAACCATTAAAATAAATGAGCTAATTAATGCATGTTTTTGAATTTTTTGGGGGGTTTATTAAAGTTACATTAAATAGTACCTGTTTCTAATTACACTTAATAGTAAAAAATAAGACTAAGTCAATATTGTCTCAAGTTGTAATGTGTAAGGTTGGATTTGTTGTTATGAAGTTATTGGTAGGTATTGGTTCAGACTATAACTGAAGCTTGTTAATTTCATGTGTCCTTGGTCCCATATGAGGACGCTGTCATCCACAGTGAGTGAGTGTGCCCCCCTGGCCATGTGCCAGCACACACACGTCTGTGTCATGTCATGTGTGTGTGATGTATATCTGCAGAGTGCACATGCGCCGCTCAGCTCCATGTCTGACCTACACAGTGACTTTGAAGCCTCCTCTCTCTGTCCCCTCTCTTTGTGCCTTTACTAATGGCAACATCCTGAGACAAAAATGCACTTTTGCTCTCATATCGGAAACTTCTTGTTTTGCTCAAAACACCTGTGAGATGCAGGCTGTGCCTTGGTCAACTAAAACAAAGAGGGGGGTGTATGTTGTGTTTTGGTGACTGGATGTGCCTCACCTTGACCCAGAGAGGGCCTCTGATTCTAACAGAGTCCTGATCAGATGCATGTAGAGGAGAAGAGTTAGAAAGGTTTAGCAAAGCATACATGCAGGAGGCTGAGTCATCCTTGTGCAGCATTAAAGAGACAGGCTCCATACATGACACATGTGTGTGAGCCCCACCCCCTCTCTTCTCTCTACTGCTGTGACCTGCCACAGATTCTTAAAGAGCAGCCTTTTTAGGTTGTTGCTTGCTCGTCTTTCACTCTTTTTTTTCTTTCCTCCTCCTCCTCTTTGAGCACCGGCTCTGCCCCTGCTGCGGTGCCTTCTTAATGTACACACATGCACAGCACACACATGACCATAAGGCATTGCAACACACCCCCTCTCTCATTCACCGCAGAGCACCAGCACCAGAACCCCTTGGCACTGTCTGCCTTCACTTCTGCACTTAAAGCGCTTCAACTCGGGAGTGGGATATCCTGTCTGCAGATAGGTGAGCGCTCACTGTTTTGTCTTGTATTTTTTGTGTAGGACGAGGTTGTATGGGGGGGGGGTGTTTCTTTAAGTACACCGTGTTCTCTGTCCATGTGCTCATATAGACATTTACGGGTTTCCCCCAAGGAGCCCATTTTAACTCTCTACACACTCCAGCTCAGCCCACTTCAAAAGTTTTGCATCAACTAACAGCATACAAATACACTAGTACTTTATTTGTTAACTTAATTGTTCTTTCTTATGTTTTTCCTCTATGCCGGTGTTGTCTATGAGTGCACAATTATGTAAGAGCAGGCCTTTTCCATTCCCTTATTAAACTGACATTTGATGCTAATGTAATTTAGCCACATGTCTTTTTCAATATTAATTAGTTTTTACTGAAAAACATTTAAGACTTGAATCATATGAAATAGTTTCAAACAAATTGCAGAAATGTTGTTCAAGAAAACCTCAAACCTCAAAACCTCAAAGTCCTATTCAGTTTTTAATGTCTTCACTATAGTTTGCCTCCCTTGGTCAATGCTCTTACTGTATGTTAACAGCATCCTTATCTTATCTGACAAGTGAATGGGACATTGCTCATAATAAAGATCAAAAGTGTCACCCGCTTACAAATGTATAATCTATATCTCCACCTAATCCCATGTCTCCTTCTGGGATTTCTGTTAGTGAATTAAGTAGTCACTATCAGTATAGAGGTACAGCCCTTACATATGACCCCGAGTCTTCTCTTTTAAATTAAAGGAAAACAGACATCAGATGCTTCTTCTTAACAACTTATATATCCTGAATTTAAGTGACTGTCTAAACCGTTTTCAACTGAAAAACCTGCAGGTGTCATTTTGTATCTTGCAATGGACTGCAGCCTTGTGGTCCTTAGTTTGACCTCTGATGTGCAGCATGGCTGCCTTGACGTATATATATATATATATATGGTTTTGCCTGCATTGAGATGTCTTCTAACGTTCCACCACTAGATGGCCCAAGACAACAGTTTAAAGTGAGAAAGGGTCTTCAGAAACAGCACATGTTGAGTCAGTGTTTTATACTGAGTAGGAGGCAGATGTGTTAATCTGCTTTATTAGTTTATCAATATGAGATGAACTACTTTGCTTTTGATTATAATATATGCTGTAGTTACATGGTCTAATCTCCCTTTAAATCATTATTTTTGTTAGCCAACATATCAAGTTGTCACCCAGATCATTCCTAGCTACTATTTCTAAACTCCTTGCTCCACCTGTGGGTCAGTGAACCTTCACCCCTATGGCCTAGCCCTTCCCCCTGCCTGCTGTGTACACACGTGTGCTGGCCCTCTCACATGTTTGTCCCCTCCCACTTCATGTACGCCCCTCCCCTCTGCACCGGCATGCCTTCATTTGCACTCTGTCTCTATAGGAGTTGGGAAGACATCCACTGGACAGGCCAGGACACAGACTAACCTCACATCTTAGACATGTCAGACTCCGAGAGCGCTGCTGCCCCCGCCGAGGCCCCTGTACCTGCTGCTTGTGCTGCTGTGAAGGCCGACCTGGATAAATGGTAAGTGCCTGAGTCCAAACTGTGTTACTCAAACTCCAAATGCATGTTGACTATGCAAAGTCCATGCATTTCTTCTCATAATTATACATGCATACACTGTTCAAGATTGTAGAGGTGAGTATTGTTAATCCTATTATGGATGCACTCTGGTTACATGTTTTTTAAAGGATGCCAGTTCTTGCACACACTCTAAGAATTCCTCTGTTATTTTAATGCATAATGTAAGTATACATGATGCCAAGATTACCAAATGATATTTTCAGAGATCTGTGATGTATTACAACAGTATTTCATAAACAAACAAGATAATTAAAGGAAAATTATTGCATCCACATGAAAGAAATTCAAACAAATTTTTTGATGACCGCAAATATAGCCATTCTAATAACACCAAAATGGAGTCTTTTCATGATCGCAGAGGGCAGCGGTCCAAGACAAACTAAAGCTAAATTGCGACAAACACAGTTGGACGCTTGGGTAAAGCCTATTAAAATTATAAGTTTCTCATTGTATTGGCATCAGATATAATTAAGTATGAAATGGAGTGATGTTTGACTCTCATCCTCATGCCTGGTTGAAGGTTTGGAATCTGCTTGCGTCACTTTTTTTCCCAGAGTGCCTTGCGTTAGCTTTGCTGCGTCAATGGAGTGCAATAGGCAAGGAATACCACTCTGCAGGAGATTTATAGTATGTATTTGTAGCATGCATGTTGATCAGTGATTAGTCATACAGCCTTTTTCTGCAAACCTAGCTCTGGTCTGGCAAAGTCCTTTGGAACATGCTGCTTTGACAGATCACTGTCACTTATGCAGCTGGGACTGTCAGGTCAAAACGGATAACCTCCTTTATTTGAACATTTTGGGTCCATTGGCTTTATTAGACAGTACAGTACGCAGCTTGAAATGAGGCCAAAGAGCAGGAAGAGACATTTAGCAGTCAATCACACAATGAGACACAAAGCATAGCATAAGTTCTGCAACCAAACCCCTAGGCCAGAAAAGCAGCTCAGGTAACCTACACTGAATAGTGCTTGAATGACAATTCTGTTGTATTGTAAGTTACACATATAGTGTTATTTGTGCCATCTTGGCCAAGTGGAGTTACTACATCAGACTGTTGGGGCATGATAAAGTGGGAGGGAGTGTATGAAGTTTTTTGATAAGAGGCCAGCAGAAATGCAAAATAAATGGGCAGGACTCAGGCCTTTGCTTCCTCCCAGAGTGGACAAGTTCCTGTGTGCTCTTTAAGACGTTTAAGCTCATAACCTGTAACAGGATTATGATTAAAGCAATACTTTGACTCTTTTTAGCACTGCTTCTACTTTGTGTTAGAGATTGTATTTTTTATTTAATATTGAGTTCTCCTTTGTAGGTTGCTTTCATATATCTGGTATCTATAGGGTCTTTCAGAAGAGAGTACAAAAGGGTGAAGATGATAAGACAAGCTCTTATATAACTTTGCACTGAAAAAGTCAGCAAAACCATGAACTGTGACCTTGAGAGGTTGAAAGCCGCGTGGCAACCACCTCTGAAAATGCATGTTAAGC